GTGAAAGTTTACGTACAGCTTTCACAGATCAGGTGATACATTATCATATAAAGACGTCTTTATTTGATATTGTGGTGAGTATATTTTGTCATTCGTTATTAACTAGTTTAAGAACAGAATGACGACAATGACATTCAGTTCGTCATAATTTTTCATTATTCATTGGGGAAGCAGAGATTTTATGGATTTCATCTTCTCAGATGGCAGCGATTTGCAGGTTCACGGTCTTGTTGCTCTTTTATGCGCTACTGTATCTGAATCACTGGATCATTGTAGCTGTAAGTATGTTTGTTAATTGAATCTTTTCTCGAAAAAAAAAAAATTTATTTATAATGAATGTGTAAACAACAAAACAAAGAATAAATTTTTTTTAACAACTTCATTTTCAAAAAATATATATGATATAAAAATAATTTTGAACTTGTATTTTACAGATATCAACTGCCACAACATGTGCCTTTTTGATTGCCAAAGTTTTTCTTTTTGATGTAAGTGTCTTTGAAATACTTATGTATTATCTTTATTATTATCTTTTTTTATTTAACGTTTTATGATTTCAGTGGACATCAGCTAATCAACCAGTATTCCAAGTTCTGCTGATTTTAACATCTTTTGTATTAGCATGGGCAGAAGCTTGGTTCTTTGATTTTCGTGTGATACCTCAGGAAACTCAAGCAAGAAATTGGATTCTTAGTAAGCGATCTCTTTCTGTTTTTCTTTCAGTAGTATAAATATTTTTTTGTTTTTACTCTTTGTCAACAAGTGATACGACACGAAAAATAATAATGTAAACCCGAACATTTATGTACACAAATATTTACAAGAATACTTTAATGATATGATATATGAAGATAGTAGAAAGTATTGCATTTTGATATTAAATCTTGATTTTCGCAAATTAATTTGAATGTCGACAAAATTATGAAATTACAGGTTTTCCGGATACAGAAAGAACTCCATTATTACAAGGCATTGTGACAGAATCACGGCAACATGCGGCAAATGTTGATCACATGAGTACATTTTTCACACCTGTGGAATCTCCGACTCATTCTGATGATGAGGACATCAGCTTCCCCAGAAAGCAAGGAGACTCGAGGAAACTCTCAAAATCCAATGAATTATTTAGATTCCTAGCGAAACTTACACCTGATAAGGTTAGTGAAATTATGTTTTCGTTTCCGCATTAATTGGTAATTAATTCATAACAAGTAAAAGGAAAAAAGCATAATAATATATACGTTTTTGATATATGAACCTTGACTTTAATTAATGTTTAATTAATGTTTAATTAATGTTTATTGCAGTTAAATATGATATTTATACAGTATTAGCGAGTATTATGATTTATAATAGTTCTTAGGATATTTGATAATTATTTTTATAATCTAAAAATTATTAAATAAAGTCCCAAAAGTTATTGAGTCATTAAAATACTCGTTAATATGAACTAATATGTATTGATACATATATACAAATATATATGTATTGATACATATATACAAATATAATTAATGTCGAGTCCATTTCTATATGTCTACGGTAGTAATTCTTAAGAAATATATTTTTAAATATTCAATGATAACTAAAATTGATGAGAGATATAGAGAGGAAAGGCAGTAAGAAATACCATAGGAATAACGAAATACAAAGGGAAGATTAAGAACATACTATCTTTAGTTGATTATTCGTATAAATTAATTAGATGAGCGACTCGTGTTTAATCATTTTTCTTTTGTACTTTGTCAAATTAAATTTTAATCTGTAAATTTTATTGGATTAATTGTGATTTACATTATATTTTTAATTGTTATTTTATTTGTACTACATGTGTTCTAAACTATCAAGCGCATCAAACTATAATCAAACAATAATACATTCGTCAGTTATATTTTTGCAACAAATCAGTCGTATTATTTATCATTCATGTAATAATAGGTCGTAAAATCAAATATATCTATATTTTTATTTGTGATACTTATTTATAATTACGCTAATGCGTTATTTCTTTAAATCACTACAAACATGTGTATAATATTTCCATTTTACATTTCTAGAAATATTTTCTCTGAATTTTTAGGTATTAATTAAAGGATATATTATGTGCTTTTTTTTAGATTGATGAATATAAAATGAAGACATCTAAGATGTTACAAGATTGTCATGACTTGTTAACATCGAAAGAATGGAAAGATACAAGTATAACAAGCGATGGTGATGAAATGTCATGTATGCAACTTCCACCAGAATGGAAATTAGATGGAAAGGTCATGAAAATAACGGTAAGCTGCATAAATTAAATACAGCGTAAATTAAAGATAAATTTAAAAAATGTAGACTTTTTCGGTAATAAAAAAATGTTCTTATTTTATAAAATTTAATAATTATTTAAGGGTATCATCGATGCACCTGCTAGCATACTCATAGATTTATTGTTTGATGGTGTCGAGGAACAAGTTTCGTGGAACAAACTCGTGACAGAATCAATAAAACTACAAGTTAGTAAAATTTTTTGTTTCTTTTTTCTTACTATAATTGCTTTGTCATACTGATAACAAAATTTATTTTAAACAGTATATTGATGAAAACACGGATATTGTTTACCAAGCAACAAGTCCTTTTGGCGGCGGGATCATTACAGCGCGAGATTTTGTTATTTTAAGGCATCGTAAGAAATATGGCAATTATTATATTACTAGCGGTGTATCGGTTCCTACCGCATCAGTTGAAGTTCGCCCAAACATGACAAGGTGAGATCCCGAAACAAATTATATTTTATAACATATAATGAAAAAAAGAGTAGAGAAACAAGAAAAGATTGACTGTTTACTTTAAATATTTTTAAGGGGTGAAAATGGTATAAGCTGTTTCGCAACAGAAGAGTTACCTGACGAAATTAGTAAATGTCGTTTTACTTGGATTCTAAATACAAATTTTAAAGGCTGGATACCACAAACTGTTGTAGATAAATCTTTGTCCACTGGTTTAGTAAACTTCATGACATATTTAAGGGAACACTTGAATGATATGCAACAATCGTCAATCTAGTATAATGTTACTCATAAGTTGAATTATCTTTTTTTATGTACTACGTTAGAGCTACGTATTTTTTTATCCAATATCTATTGACGTATATACATAATACATACATACAAACAAACAAAATATTACAATTCACATAATTATGGACTTGACAGAGAATATATTTTTAAATGAAAGGCATTTTTTAACACTAGAATCGCTGATGATGTCCCGTTAAAACTGCCGAAGATGTCAATTTGGTAATTTTCTATCTTTTCAGTTAGTGAAAAGTTACTTAAATATTGTTTGTATCATTAGAGAATTGTATAGTATTCACATATTTTCAATAATGATTGTGTTTAGCATAAAAAGCTTTGCAATGATTATAAAATTCTTGATATGATTGATTCATACATTTAAATCTAATGAGGAACTAAGAGCAAGACCAATCATAATAAAAAATTTTACAACAGTTGCAATACTGTTTTTTCTGCTGAACATAGCCATTCTGTATTGTAATATAATACAAAAAGAAATTTGAAATTATTAGTGGAGTCAAAAGGACATCATCGATTGTATTAAAATACTTTTTGTTTGAATACGAATAATTTTCAAGTGTGAATAACATTTAAGACATTTATTTACTAACGAAGAGTTTACGATTGAAGTCACAGATGCATGATAGTCGTAATTTTACGATTTATATAAACATAAATATGTTCCAATTATATTTATAACTAATAGGAATTATTCTCATCAATTTTTAAAATGTAAGAATTTTTATCGATGTCGATATATAAATAGTATCCATACTTCTCACAGTTTTGTTAAAAAAATTGCTACATTTTTTCTCACAAAATCATTTCTAATCGACAATTGCAATCGACAAACAAGAAAGGAACATACTATTTTATTCTAATCATTTTTTTTTCTATGAAATATGTCGCATAATAGTAGTTAAGAATCATACGCATATATTATGTGCTTTTTGTAAGTGCCTATGAATGTTCGGTTAAGCGCATCTTTTGGCATACAATGTATATAGTATATCACAAATGTGTATTTAACACGCGTGATGGTATCTATCATGCGTCTATCACATTTCACGCAAAAATAAAGTCGGGATATTAACATAGAAATATATTACTAATTTTTTTCTTTTTTTATCTATTTGTTTTTATGTTATTTACGATTCGTTAACGCGTGCGCGCGCGTTTTTCTTTGCTTCTTTCAATTTTATAAATCGTAAAACTTAATGTATTGATAATGTATACATAAATGTGCATTTAAGTGAAGCATGCAATCATTAAATAATCCTTTGATTGATAGAATTATATATGCGTACGGTATGCATTTGATCAATTTTATATATTGGGTTGTCCGGAAAGTTCGTGCCGATTTTGGAAAATTGAAACGCAGAAGATTTAAATTTTTAATTTCATTTATTAAATTTAAATCTTTTGCGGCACGAACTTTTCGGACAACCCAATATAATAAGAATGAAGAAACGTACATTATTTTCATTCGTTGAATCGGACGTACTTTATTTTTTTTTTTAATTACAGAAAATGTATATACAATTGCACATTTATTGTTGATAAATTCATTTCATTTAATTAATATGATGTTGGCGATATGAGCGAGCGTTTAATTATGCAATGATACACGTTTCCAAGTTTAAGCTTCTTAGAATCTTACTCTATTTATATTATCTCTGTTTATGTGATCGATATTATGTAATTTTATTGCCTAGTATATGATAATAAGCGTGAAATGTTATGAAATAAATACTTTAATAGGAAGAATAATGATAGAATAATCTATTAGAAAGAAAGGAAATGCAATGATAGCATGATCTTTATTAATATTAAAAAAAATAGACTGTTGAAACTAATTAAAACAATTTTTAAAGAAAGATAATTGATTGATTTTGTTGTGAAACAACATGTGCAATTTAAGAAATTATAAGAATGTTTAGATTATATAATTTTATGATTTGTTGAAAAAAGAAGAGAGAGAAAAAGGGAGAGAAATAATTATTATTAATCAAAAGATTAATTTTATTACTGTATGTGAGTGTGTATAAATATATGAATAAGTATATTCTCAATTAAATTTTCTTAATGAGAAAATATTATGATAATATTACTTTTAAGCTATTCAATATACAGGGTATCTCGATTTTATATATACGTAATCAAATATTTCCTTGTTTTTAGATATTTCGTGCATTGTAATCTATTTTATTAAAAAGACTGCATAAATTTGACATATGACTGTATTACATAGCGAAGTAAACGCGACAAAGCATGCGTATGCTTAATGTCCCATAAAAAAAGATAAATATTATTTTATTTCTATATATGTTCGTAATATTATATACATAAAAATAGCAATTTGTATTAAGATTTTGTATGTGTCGTTAATTCACATCACTTGTGCAATATACTCCTTCATTTTTCTTATGGAGATGCCTGTGAGACATGGTACTACATTAAAGAAGTCAACGATATGTCCCAACAGAATAAAATAAGGATAGACTACTCGAAGATGATTTTATAAATCTAGCATATATTCGAATATAAGATTTTAGCTTTAAGTCAATAAATGCAAAGGAAAATTATAGCCTATTGTTTTCTTAGAGTCAAATCTCCTGTCTTACACATGCATAATGAAATAATAGCTACGTTGTTTTGATCGTTAGTTTTTATTTATTTACAATCGTGTAAAGTTTAATCATTCTTGTGGCACATAAATTATTGAACACTCATTATTCGTTGATTGTTAAATGTCCAAATATGCACGGGTATATGGCACACGAGAATGGAGATACGAAGATTAATGGCAAAACGGATAGAAGCGGTAATTGCGGTAAATCCGTCTACTCTAGTATGCATTAATTAACATGATTATATGGCGACGTGCACTAATGTCTCACAATAATATTACAAAACATAATTAAGCTCGTATTCTGCATATTAAAATATAAAAAAAAAATTTAATTTCATTGAATGTAAATACGTTGTAAAATAACTAAAACATGTTGTAAAATTACGTGTAAAATAACGGTTAATATACTCAGGTAATATATTTTGGTGGAATAATCAAATAGAAATGAATATTATTTATATGAAAATCCTGAAAAATTAGAGTTTATTTTGACTATTGAAGAAAAATGATGAAAAAATTTTTAAAATAATATTAATTATTTTATAAAA